CATTTAAACATTGAAATTGTTAATTATTACCAAACGGGTGGTACGTGAATAAGTTAATTTAGTTAATTAGGGTAATCTTAAATCATAATTTAAACGATCCAAAGGACGTCGAGTGGTTTCCAACGTGCTTTACAATCCATGTAAACCACGACCCCGTGTTGAATTGGCGCTTATAAATATTGTCTGATGTCAAGGAAGCTGAATCACATACAATCGATTTAGCATAAATTAGAGGTGATTTATTTTGTTCTTAAACAATGACCGATTAAAAGAATCGTGATTTTACTTAGGCCAACACGTTTAATTTCGTGATTTTTGTACTTTGAAACAGGTCTCTCAGTTTAGAGCGCAAATTAATTCATTTAAAAAGCAGGAACTCATTTAACAAAGCTTTTTAGAGTACTGAATTACGGTAATTTGTTGCTGGTTTGGTTAACTTGATTTGTTCCGACAATTGCGTCACATAACTTATCTGAATTTTCCGCAATGGCGTTTGTCTCTTGGACTTCTCCCTTGCTAAATTCCTAGACTTCAAAAATCGTTATTTTATAGACCATAAAATAACAATAGTAATTAAAAATACAAATTTAATTAAGGTTGTGATCGTTAGTCTGCGCATCATTGGTCAGTACAATAGAATCAGACAGGCACAGTATTCCATATGGCAACAGCAGATCTGTATGAGGTTCATGATGTAGCATAAAAGGACAATATTTAGTCAAGGTCGATGCAAATATTATTCCTTAAATTATCGTAGCACGATGCATCCAATTTGTTATTATTATTGATAATAATAATAATAATAATGCTGTTGTTGCTGCGAAACAAAACAGCAATAGTAACCACTTGAAGTCTTTGCTCTCTATATCATAAAGTATATGTTCCTTAAAAATCCTCCCATGTAAATTCCAGTGAAATGTGGAGAGAGGCAGTGAGGGGGGAGAGGGGAGGTTAATCCGAGTTTAATGCAGTGATGCACAGCACAGGACCGAGGCAGTGATGATTGTGTTATCTCTCCCTAGCATTTGGGTCCCCCTCAATTTCAACCCAGCCAAATAGCTGCGAGAAAGTGCAGATGGAGTCACTCCCGATGCCTGAGGAAAAATGTTATTAATAGCTAAATAACTTCCCCATACTTTCACTAAACCTCTCTCTCACCATTTCAGATGGATTTGTTTGAAGTGGTCTTCTCCTCATCCCTTCGTCCTTTTCTTTCAACGAAGCTTAGTTTAGACTAGGCTCCTAAATATATAACCGTTATTTTGAACCAAACGTGGGCGCTTGCTCGATGACACTTTTTATTGCAAGAAGTTACAAATCTTTAACAGCAGATTGCACCTTTTGGCGGCGTCGCTTCTGCCTAAATTCATTAGCATAATTTGCAGGTAAACGCAAATTTGGTGAGTGGGAAATTTTATACATTCTGTCTGTTGCCTTAAATCGTATTATATTCAAAATTCGATTGCAAATTCTCTCTATTTTTTTTTAAGAAAACGATATTATTGGCGTCCCAGTACGTTTATAAATCATCTCCGCAATGTCTCGGCTCAGTTAAATAATAGATACATTTATTTAGAACTGTGATTAATTTGTCTGTCTTTTGTGAGAAAGGTCCCAAAGGCAATATTCTTTTAATTGAATAGGCGCGGTAAAAGTTGGCCTGAAGCTTCGAATTGCCTGACACCAGACTATCACTCCACCGGCCCCCATTATTTTCTCTGATCCCTACTCAGAACATTCACAAATCCTGCCTGGCTTCTGTTTGATTAGATTGCGAACGTTAGGTAATCTGCCGATTTGCTTAAGTGCCCATCGCTACTTTTTCCAGCATGTATTTACAAAGGACATTCTGTTGGTTTAATCAATGCAGATCATTTCTAGGGAATTGATTGATACACCCTCTATCGCTCCCCTGAATGTATAAAAAACAGGTGTTACGGCAAATGTCAGCTATCGAGTTCCTCTCTCTAATCCCTACTATCTTAATATTAATTAGTGGGTCTACACCGGCCACAGCAAAACCACGATTATAGCAATTTCGATTTAACGTAAAGGGAATTATCAGTATGTTACCCTTGTGAAAATTGTATTGGAATCTAATTTGTATTCTACACAAAAGACCACAAATTCTGCCCACTTTTTATTTCTCATATGGCAATTAGCCTTGATGTATATGATAAAAAATACAATCGAGGCATCAAACCATGCATTCGCCCTCCACATGTAGATCACATTTTCCCGTTTGGCATGAACACTTTTAGGTTATTGTTCGGCTTTATTTTACCGAAACCGTTCTTGCATGTTTACCATATTCGCAAAGATAGCAAAGCATTTTGTATCGTTTGTATGTTTGTATGTACTCCGTGTAATAAATATATAAAGCCTACCCCCCCTTTTCTCCACTAATTCCACAACTACATTTGAATTATACATCCATTCAATCATTAACGAACGCTAAGATGGTTGAAAAGAACTCATTCACAACAGGCCTAACAAATACCAGTTCCACTTGCTATTTTAGTTTATATTAGGATATTCATATTTGTAATTTATTTAAAGACATGGATCAAAAAAAAAAAAACTGAATGGACAACGTTAGTTATTTCTGGTGAATTCGTGCATCAAAAATAAACTCCATTGCTGACCCCACCTACGTACAGTCCGTGCTTACAGCTGGTAACGGGCTTGCATGTGTATTAAAAATTATCTTAAAATGAACAGTTACCGGTATTTCCCCCCATCATTTCAGAGTTTGGTTAGCATGTCAGAAATCCCCAATGCAAATCAAATAAATAATAAATAGATAGATAAATAAATAAATAAAATCTTAACAACTATAAAAGAAACCTAAAATCTCATGAATTTGTGCCCAGGGCTAGCCAGAGCGAGCCGTTTAGAGATGAAAGTGAAAAGAAATAAAAGGCTCAATTTAATCTGCCTTAAAACCCTTCAACATAACGTTTGTGCTTGAAACTCGGAGAGTGAGGGCTGATTGGGGATAAATGCATTTCTTACCATGCCTGCGAGCTATTACACCGCTCTGCAACACAGCCGCCCATTCAACAGACACCGTTTTCATTACTAACTCTAATAAGTCTTAACATTATTAAATGCCAGCCGGATGATAGAATGAAACGGGCGCAAAGACGAATCTTTTTAAGAATAAAAAAGGGGGCATTTAGTATCCCGGTTTAAATATTTCGCCATAAACCCGAAAATGCAGAAATCAAGCGGGAACTTTAACTGCCAAATATATATATATATATATATATATATATATATATATGTACGCGCACACACACCATGTTAATATTAACAATTTCTCTTCCACATGTTATTAAATATGCAGAGCTCCGTTTGGCAGTAAATGTTCACATCAGCTCTAATGGCGATTAAAAAAACGCCTTTGATGTCCACGTAAACCTAAAAAAAACAAACACTGCCCGTTCATAAAAACAAGCAAAGGCGCTAGGAATACGTCCCCGTTATACCTACACGTGCCAGGCCGAACATCAAAAACACTTTCCTGTTTATTCGGCGATACTATCAAAATTGCATATTATTTTATTATTTGCAGACATTTAACTCAGATACGTTTTCGTAGGTTAAAGTGCCTATTTACACACCACAAATGTGCAGTTAGTTTTCACAATAGCCCGATTTTAAAATGAGCAGTCGCCATTTCCAAACAAGAAAGAAACACTTTGCACCCTCCAACGCCTATTCTCTTCCAACAGACGATTCTATAATATTACAAAACTATCTACCAGCGGGGTGTATTGAATAATTCATCTCCCTTTAGTTCCCTCTTGGCCTTTTGTCCAAAGTTTTTTTTTCTTTTGCGGGTTTTTGAATGAGAATGGAATGGTCCGTTTCTCTTTTCGCAGTCCCGCTTTTTTAAGTTTTGCCTTTGTATCACGGAATCTTTCCATTCAAAAGCTTCAATGGAGTTTGAGGCCTTTTGCGACTGAAGTTCATCTTCAAGTTTGGAGAAGAGCTGAATCTCGACAAAGAAAAAGGTTTTATAGGTTTACTTAAACCCTATACATAAATGTTTGATCATCTTACTTGATAACTTCTATTTCCTTAAGCAACAAGACCAATTGTATTACGTGAGCGTCCACGTAATCGATGAATGTTGCATAGCTCCGTGCCAGTTGGAAACTAATGCACAGGTGATCAATTTTCCATATATTATAATGCAATTTCGTCAAAGCCTCTGCAATTCTGCTAGTGGGCCAATTTGTGTAAGAATTACGCATATGTAAAATTTCAGTTAAATACTTGGATGAATTTCACGATAAAGATAAACGTCCGCATCATTATTTTATTTCAAATTCCTACCACTTCGCTGTAAAATGAAATGAGAAAATCTGAATCCTAAAAAACTAAAGGAAATCTAGAACTAATGGGACATGGGCTGGTCCACTGCAGGGTTTTCTTAACATAGAACATTAAGTCGTGTTGTGCCTCAGTTGGTTGTAATTGATATTGATTGGCAAATCGTTTAGCTGTCAGCTGCCGTTTCAAGGGACCGTTTAAAGCGCAAGAGAGGAGTCTATTGAGCAAATTAATTTACTAGTCCCAAATACCTTCCGTCAATCCTCATATAAATAATTGAGTAACCAGGCCTACAAAAGCTGGGAGCCATAACAGCAGGAAAAACATCCACATTCGGTAAAGAGACGTTGTCTATCAACCAAATCATGCAGATGCACACATTCGAAGTAGCAAACAATTTGAGAAAGTTCACGCACTTAATATATCCGAAATGCATTTAGAATTTATAGTAAGTGTGTGTGTGTGTGTGTGTGTTTGTAAACAACGTAGATTTTTAGCAATCACGTCATCGTTAATTCCATCTGCAGCACAAGCGCAGGTTTAGCATAACAAACAAGTAAATAAATAAGAGTCTTTCAGGTAGAAAAATAATGAAAAAATAATAATGCTTTGATCACCAGGGCGGACACAGAATAAGAATATAAACCCGCTTTAAATACCTTTGTCGCCGAGTATGCCGTCAATGCTGTGCTTGGTTTTTTTGTCCCCGTCTTCATCCTTCTTATCACAATCGTCTTCATCATCTTTCTTGCCAAACCGAGCTCGTAAAACCCGGCTAATGGAACTCACTGATGAACCCAGAAAATTGCAACGTCATTTACCATCTAAATTTGTATTATTACCTGTATGTTTGGCATTATCACTGAAATTGGAAACATTGTTAAAAGACGTATACATTATAGCTGTTGCTGTCATCATTATTGTAGTTAAAATAAGTGAATTAATGTGATTGTATATTTCAAATGAAGTAGCATGCAGCAGTAACGGAAGTTTTTCGTTCTGCTGTAATTCACGTATCCCAACGTCATTATAATTCAAATGACCCAATCCCGATAGCCTAGTTAAATACATGTAAGTTGGTTTCTTGTAAGGAAAGGCAATACATAAGTAATTAAATAGCGGGGGAAATTACAATCCATAAAGTTTACGTGTGTGGTTAATTCCAGGTCCACTCTAGTTCTTCAGACCTAACTAATAGCATAACCTTACTGTGGTAGGAAAAAAAAAAGTTGCTTACCAGATGGGGCCTCACCTGAAGGAACTGTGCTTCTGTCACACACGCCGTCCTTCAGCAGCTTGTCCCGGATCTCCCAGCTGAACATGCCCGGATTCTCTCGCTTGTATTCTTCGATCCTCTTCTCCACATCAGGCGTTGCTACCTGCTTTGGGTGTCAATTTACAGAGTACAGCAAAGAAAGCAGGGGAGCAAGTGGCAGAAAATGGGAGGGTGAGAGAGAGAGAGAGAGAACGAGAGAAAGTGAAAGTAAACGACTTTAATTTAAATCAAATGGCCGTTTGAGATCCATAATGACCTTCCGATGTCAAACAGACGCTGCTTACTATAGAACTTTTATTACACATGCATTTATTGTGACCAATAGGCTGCCTTTATGATTCATGTCAGACGCACAGCGAGTGCTGACCTAACCATGGGTAAGATTAAGCACATTACAGTTTTATTAGGCAATATTCTTGGAACTGTTGCTTGTCTTTACAACGTGTTCGATATATAAAAAGAACCATAATCTTTTTAATCTTAAGGCAAAAATAGCATCTTAAATATTACCTGAAATGGGAATGCCTAATTTGTATTTTAAAATATAGTGACAGTGTTTGTTAGCAGATGTTATAATTTAGAATCTAGAATAAAATGTAATAACGGAAGTTGTGGTATTTGCAATTTACAGTAATTCGGTATAGTGACACTGTATCTATCATTCATAAAAACATACGGCTGTAATAACACAAATAATAATAATTATAATAATTTGTTTTCCAGTGATATGGAGAAAACTGTAAATTACTGTATAAATTTAATATTGCAGCCCTTGAAATCTGATTTCTGTTCGTTTACATTGACGCACTTAATTTGCACTCACCCTGGGTTTGCTTCCACCTATGGCCCCGGGACGGATGGAACCCGTTTCTTGGTACCGACAAAGGATTTTGGACACGCAACCGTGGGAAACTCGAAGCTGCCGTGAGATCACGCAGGGTCGGATGCCGTGGTGTGCCATCTCTACTATCTTGTGTCGGATATGGTTTGGCAGTGGCCTCCCATTAATGAACACTCCGCCAAGCTGATTTACACGACCTTGACCCAGAGGAGTTGACACTGTGGCGTAATAAAACACATTTGGAATCGAGCATTAAAAAAAACAGAGACGCGATTACACAGTTCAAACAAAATGGAGTTTTAGTTTTCGATTCTTACATAATTAAAAAAAAAACCAATATGTTTAAATACGAAATGTAAATAGTGAATGATGATGTAAAATTACATGTTAGAATTGATGGTAATGTAACTTATTTTACAGCAAAGTTTGATTGTTCGTACTGACAGCATCATCTTTAGAGAAAACAGGCCTAGTGTTAATTTAACTGGCGTTACATGTTGTTATAGTGTAAACGTTACACGTGTTTACAGCTCGAAAAACGGCAGAATGCATAAAATTGTTATATACGGAAATGCTTTTCAGTGAGGCCGGTCAATTACACCGAAGCAAACTAATATAATAAAAATAGAAATACCACGTTGTTGAAATTCGTATTTTTAATGTTAGTTTCGTCATTGTTCATATAATTTACAATTTGATATTGAGTTGTATTATTGATGACAAAATCAACAGAAGAATGACAATAATAGTAATAATACAAAAAAAACTGACGGAATTGCAATTTAAAGTCGTTGTTTAAGTCGGCCTTCAGAATTCACTTCCAAACAAATTTATCATTGCCCAAAAAATATTTAAAATTTTTAACAAATATTTACAATTCTTTAACTGTACGACCCATTCTTTCCCCAGCAAATATAAACCAGTTTACTAAGAGAAACTGTAAACTAATTTACTTCTCACATGCCCTGACTATTTTCAGATGCATCTTTAGATGCTAATGAAATTTGTGGTCAATTGCGTATTCAAGAGTCACTAAAGATTGTAGCACTTTTCTCATTCATTATTCACAGTCATGTTGTACAAATATTGATGTAATCCTTTGAGACGTCGCTTTGCTGTGTATTTTACTTCTATTTGCGGCACCGGGGCACTTCAGCAAATCCCAGGGCATTGATAACTTGCTGGATTCGTGTTTTTTGTCATTTGATTTAAACCACTTGAGCACGAACAATCCCTACAGAAGAATGACTGCCGTGGAATAAACGATTAATAGATGCAAATATATTTTAAAGTGCACGTCTCCGTGAATCGTTCACGCAGTTCGGTACATTTTGGTACCGGTTTCATAATCCAGACACTTACAACTGTTTTAATAGTTGAAAATTGTTCTAAGAACACACGATACCAGTAATTGTGCATAAACTGTCTTCGATAAAGCTATCTGTGAAATCACGATTGCTTAAGTAGTTTTTAATGTGTTGTGTCTTGTTCCGTTTATTCTTATCTGCTTTATATATCAACACGTAGGTATATGCGTTTAAATGATTAAGATATTAATTTTAAAAATATTTTAAAATACCACAAACACAGGTCATACATATTCGTGTGTCGTGTATTTTGTCCGAATATCAGAATTACCTTAATAACAAATTTCGGGAGTCCAACAAATTAACTCTAAAGGGTATAACTATTATTATTCGTTTTGGAAATAAACTTTATTTGTCATTTTTATTAGGTTACGAATCCTGAATATATTCCAGGAATCATGTGTGTCGGTTTCCTAACAGATCAATCGAATTTAAGACTTTAAAACCACGCGTCACTACCATTTAATCTATACTTACGCTTAAAAAACTTCACCTGATTTAATATAACTTACCTTCCAAGGGGAATCCGGTACGGGGGTAATTCTGGCCTGGCGCTGGTCTCATCATTCTTGGTACCGTTCCTGCTAAGGTGGCCATTATACTGTCAGAAATCAAGCAGCCGTAATCAACCCAGTTTCTAGACGGCACAACCAAGTCCTCAATTGATGGTGATTTATTTCTCAAAATGAAACGTGACGTATTTCGGTAAAAAGAAGAAGAAAAGAAAAAAAAATACAGTGGGATAACGTAGATCCAACCAGATGAACTGGCAAATGCAGAACCCCTAAAAACGAGGAAAAAATACACACTTAAGCTGTTCGTTTGGTAGCATAAGACAAACAGGAAAAACGAAAAGATTCAACGTGTGCGCGTGGAGGGAGGGGGATTATTCTAGCTCTCACAAGTAGAGTGGCCAAAGGTTATTTAATTCTTTGCAGTGTTGCGCTGAAAGGTCTGGTAGTTTTTATGGCAAAGTCTGCTCGGAGGTTGGGAGTAGTTTAAGTGGACAACTTTGGCGCACAGTGTATGAGGGGGGTGTCGCGCGCGCCGATAGGCTCTGAGGCCTTTCTTTTATTCATGAGGGGAAGAAGGAGTTTAACCACAGGTCTCTCGACCAATAGCAAGAAACGACGCTACACGCAAATACACTTTCCGCTGCTGTGTTTTTACAGTCCACCCGCTTCTTCTGAATATATTATATAGAACCGTACAATAAAATACCGTTGATTAAACTTTCAAGGTAATTTATAGACGACTAGAAGTTTCTTTTTTACGTGTACTATTAATAATTAAATGAAGAAAAGTACCTCAACGTATCGAAGCGTTTACCATGGCAGGAGTTCTTGATGGAGATTTTGAGAATAATATTTTCGTTTCATATCGACAGATACGTCTTTAATTTTCTAATAGCGCTCAGGTGATTATTCTCTATTACAGATACTTTTAAGCTACGGGATACATTATGTAGAATGTATTCGGAAGAAAACCATGCCGGTCACTTGCAATTAACACATACCAACCCGTATTAAAATACACAATTAATAAACATTTACATTACGTTCTGGTAAGTGCAAAATCACACTTCTGCGATGTACTTTGTTTTTTTATTCTTAAACTTGATTGTAAGCGTTTCATTTTCAGTATAACATTTTTATTGAACTTGACAAAACACGGATAATTCGCCATCAGTGAAATCATTACCACCATGTCTCATAGGTCTTAACCCTATAACGCCAAATGTATCACCCTGACCTGGTGCTTCCGTTTGTTTACTAAATGTAGGACAGTAAGCCATCTGCCATCAGCATTTAAAAAGGAAACTATCGATATACATATCAACTATAATATATATATATATATATATATATATATACATATATATATATATATATATATATATATATACAAACCAGTGAGTTGAGTTCTGTCTTCTAATTCAAAACAAAAAGCACTCGCATCACCGAGACGTCACTGAGAACGCTTCTCCGACCCCGTTTTTATGGTACAATTGGCCATTACTAAATAGAGGTAATAACGAAATTGAGTAGATTGTTTTTACACAAAACCGCAACAGGACAATCCAAAGACAGTTCATACATCTTTTTTTTTCCTGGCAACGATTAATGCAGCTAACCCATAATATAAAAGAGAGGAGGGGGAAACACTGGCATTTGTCGCTAAAAATCCCATAACCCATTAGAAAGGACTAGAAAGCGTGTCATAATTAACACAAATGCGTGTTATTCGGTTGATCGTCAGTAATAAACGTGGCAAAATTCTCCTCAGTAAACGTCGAAGCGGCATTTTAAATCCAATATACAATACATACAATAAATAGAAATTGAATATGCGTTCTCTTTAAGGCTGAGCAAGGCAATCGGAACATTCATTCACGTGGATTATCATCTCGATGTTCATTTTGGAAATTCACGAGCACGTTCCATTTCATTCACAAAAAAATCACGTCTTAAATTATGCCCTTTGCTTACCTAAGCACCACCGTACACTGAAAGCCGATTTACAAAAATATGCATCCTATCGGTTATCTAACTAAAAAAGTGGGTTGAAATTTAAATAAAATCGTTGTCATGATACACAGGGAGCTCAGAATAAAGGCCCCAGAAGACCGTCTATATCTGGGGAGGCCCAACGACCCGCATTCATAACCAGATTCTATATGATTTCTTTTACAGTAGGTTCATTTTGTATTTTATTTTTCAGAAACCCACTGTACTGCGATTCTAAGAAATTACAGTGACACAGCTTCAGATCACATTGTTGACTTTGCCACCGTGACCAAATAATAAGTATTCATAAGCTCAACCCGTTTTATTGTATACTTTGCATTTTTTTAAATTTACAAAGATTATTTTCCATTCCCTGCTGATAAATGGCTTAAGAATTTCTCAGTAGTATGAAATTCTGATATAAGCCACAAATATATATTGACTAAAATGTAGCTGATCATCCGCATTGTTTACTGTCTCCTAAAAGGAGTTTTCGTACAAAAACGCACATTACAGAATTAAGTCTGCGCCCCTAAAGTAAAATTGTAGCAAATAAACTGGGATTTATTCCCTTAAATTAAATGTAAATATCGTACAGATAAAGTAGCACAAAAATCTAGATGATAGACTACAATGTGCTGTATGCAATTAGTTAAAATGATATATTACGTATATTATTACTGGAGAGGTACGGACATCAGCTCAGCTGAACCAAACGTCTTGCATAGTAAAAGTGTGAAAATTGCCGTGGAACACAGTACTGGTGGAAAGCAATTTCACAACTAATTTTTCCAACAATTAGGGAGTGTGGAGGGGTGAAATGGCGATTTCACATGCAGATGCTCCGGTGGGGAGGACCTGGTGGCCTGCCGCAGAGCTGGAATTTTCTCTCCGGCTTTGGCTTACCTCACATGGGTTAGAGAGGCACAAAAGACCCGGTTCGTCCTCCTGGGAAGATTTACAAAGCATCGGATTAAGTGAAGCATCAATCACAAGAATCCAGAATTCACGAATTCGCGAATGCTGTCTGACGTTGGGAAGGTGCTGTTTTTAACCGCCCCCCCCCCCCCCACCCCATTCCATTTTTGCTGGACAATTTTATTCTTGCTGTTATAGGCTAGTGATGCAGACACCAACTCTCTCTTTTCCCATTCACGTAGGTGTTTGACTAAAAATAAGAAAAAAACGAACACTTTATGTAACATTGCCTTACTAGAATGATAAATTATAAGACCCACTAAGACGTGTGACAGTTCAAAAAACTGTCCGGTTGTCTGCATTCCTTCATTCTTGAATAAATTTAAATTAAGTTGCATTTAGCTTATCAGAAATTGTTAATCTTTCACATAAAATAAACGAGGCCTATATTAGATTCTAAAATGTCCGGACATCATGTCTTTTCACGGCATTCAGAATTGCGTTTCATTTTACATTATACCTTGAGTTATGGCGTTAGACTCCATGCCCCATTCTTCAAATTCTCGGCGGTGTGTATGTATTTCCTTCTTTACTCATGCTTTCTCATTTAATTTTTCATTTTAATTTACCATATTTCGTTTTCTATCATCCAACGTTGCCGCATTCCAACTTTAGACACCATGTACATGAATAAAGTAATTTTGTCAAGCAATTTTAAACGTCGCGTAGATTCGCGTAAAATGTTTACTATCAATATATATAACATTATTCATTTGACTCTACCTGGTGTTCAGCTATTTTGATAGTACGGGTGAGATGCGATCCCAACTGACTGGACCCTTGAACCGTAAAATACGCCTACGCAACCTCATGAAATGAGGACGTTTGTAACAAATTACAACTTGCCAACGCCTGTAGACCTTTATTTAACATGAATTCCGTTCAATTACCTCATGTTCCGTGGATTGGCAACTTAACCTAAGCCAGGTCCATGGATCGCTTGTGCATGAATCGTGAACAAGCGTGTGTTCAAACGCATAGGTTTCATCCATAGTGAAAACAGAAGATTGTAAAATGTCACGATGGGCTTTATGTACTTCTTAAAGTTCCTATGATCTTTGACACGAAAACGATCAAGTAAAGACCCGTGGTTGCTGGGATTTAACTAAGGTTCAGCAGTTCACTTGCAATCTATGGAGAGTAAATGTAGTTTTAGTGTTAGGTACTATAAGAGCATGATTCCCAGTACAGTATAGGTATTGGGAGTTACGACGCATTTACTTATCGTTGAAAAGTTATTGATAGAATGATAAAATTACTTAGCAATCTGAATGTGAAACTATTATGATACCATACCTACTGTTAATCATATAAATATAAGCTAATGTCTAAGGGCAGATTTTGCCAAATAAGGTAGACGTTCCCGTTTCATGCAACGCATGTAATTATTTATTAATCTTACGTTGCCCGGTCGGAAATGTATCTGAGATCACCTCGTCCCGTGTATGTCTAATGGTACAGAAATTTGGTTCCTGCAGCAATTAAATCGTTTCAGAGGCTAGAGCATCCTCTTGTCTTTAACCATTCGAAATTCCACTCAATGTAAAATTATACAATTCGTAGCAGAGAATTACAATGTAAAATTACAAAATTTTGTATTAGAAAATTTGTATTAGATTTTCAAGAAACAAGGAGTGAACGATGGTGGTCGCTAGGACCTTGGGATTTCGTGCTATCCATCGCAAGACTGATTCATAGTTATAATAATTATGACTTCTTTGTAATTATTAGATACTTTGGGGAAATTCACCTGTCGCTTTCTCCTGTGGTGGGGGCCCACGTGCGTCGCGCGTTTAGCTGCAACTGAATCGCAGGCTTACTGGCTGATTAAAAGAACGTACATTTTATGTGAAATGTAAGAAAATATTGACGTTACCATGACATTTGTATGTATTTAATTAGAGGTAATTATTGCCCGTGTCTGCTGTTGAGGATTAATTTACATTAGATAAAGAGCTAAGGACTCCAGAGAAAACTCTCTTCTCTTGGGCAAACGCCCTTCTGTTATGCGCAACACTAATTGCAAAACATTTTTTAATTAGTACAATATGTAATTTAATGGAGCTTTTGTCCGAATTTTCTAAATTCATGATTCTACTAATTAGCAGATTACTAAGTGAAATCATAACTGTTTTCTATATAGGCTGTATTTTAGTCTTGCAAAGTTTTATGAGGCGTTTTCCGAACTTTTACACTATACAGAGGAAATATGCTAATTATGTTTAAACTGTTTTATAGGTAACCAAATACAACAAATGGCATGCATTACTGGGTTTACAATGTAAACTTTTGATTTCATTTGTCTTTTCTCAAGCCGAAGCACCTGTTTATCGGCCGATAAACCATCCACTGATTATTGTCTAGTTCAATTATGGTGTTGCCCACACTCTTATATGTGTTCCATTGCAACCAAATTCATAATCACAATGATACGAAAGCATGACGTCTCAAAGTTTCAAATGTCATAAACGTGGCTATGCATTCCGATTGAAGTATGTTTTTGATGAAATCTCTACTGTATTTCGGCGGGTGAGCCGAAAGCGCCACTGAAATACATCATCTCTGTCACTGGTGACTCAATAGGTTACAATCATACTAAGAAGAAATGTGCTACATGAAGTGACAAGTGCGTAAAATGAGAAAAGAGACGTCAGAAAATATGTAATATATATTTTTTAAAATAAAGAAATACAGGACATAATGAATATTTTTTAATAAGTGAAATGGCACATAGTTTGTAAATTAGACTGGATAAATCAGAGAGACATGTTACAACGCATTTACTAGGACTTCAAAATGTTTATAATTTTTCTTACGCACTGAAGACTGATGCACGGAAGCCACGCGAGGAGCGCTCGAGATGTCTTAAGTCTTCGCTAGAGGGCGACGAAGTTTTCATAGTTAAAATTACCGCTAACCGTCTAACGTAAGAGAATACAAAGGTGTATCCATGGTTTTATTTTTCATTTTTCTACTGTATTATATTTGGTTACATACATAAGCCTATATCATTAAATTATTAAATGAATCAGCTATAACAGTTTATTATGCTTAACAAAAACTGAATTATAGTAGGGCACGGGAATAATAGTATATACTAAACTTGCACTAAGTATATTACGAATTCCCTATATCACATTTCTAAATATTCAATAAGTTTTACATTTATCAGTGACTATGTTAATTGCTTGACTCAGCAATTCAATGTCGTACCTTTGAAAGTATAGGATACTAGCGCACCTGAAAATGTAAAGCAACTTTGGATGAATTGGTTTATAAATAGGACTCTGAGACAGACAACTATTCTATGGGGAACCGGGTGTGAAGATACAATACGGCTTAATTTAATTTTGGGACTGGGTTAGAGTCTGCTCTGCTGACAGGCGATATTAGAGGAACTTTTGAGTGAAAATGCATTTTCATCCTTGACGCCCGGGCTTCCGTGCGTTTCAGTTCTATGGAGGATACAGACGCAGATTTATGTACTCTGAACAGCAAAAGCCGATGTTCCCTGTAATTCACCTTTGAACTCCCAAAAGGCACCAGTTCAGCTTCCCTCTCCCCAAACCATACATTTCACTAATCCTTCCCGCAAACAGTTTCTCGCAGAATGACTATACACGTTTTTGTGGTTAGAGATCAAATCATGTAACCTGTAGGTTACAGGTTCAAGTGCGGAAAGTATAGTGGACTTTCATTCAGCAAGATTCTTACTCTGAATTGCTCTATTAAAAGATCCAAGTGTGTAATAATGTTAGTCACTAAAGATCCGTCCGATCATTGATTTTACATACTAGCTTATTCGGTACGGGGTTGTAGTGAGTCTGTAGCCTATTTAATTAAGAACATCGTCAACAAGGTGCCAGCACATCACGCACGCGCACACCCACACACACACACACACACACACATACACACACACAGAAGGGCTAATCGAAGACACCAACTCACCTAAACCACATACCGTTACTTCTCTGACTTGAAGGAGAGAATCCACACAAACACCCGGAGAACAGGCAGACAAAAATATAACCCAGGAGCAGGATTCAAACCCCCGGAATGACTTTTTAAACTATAACAAACACGGCTACGTTTAACGTAAGGTTCGAAACTCTAAGTACTTCGTTATCTCATCGTCCGTTAACTATAGCGATTGTTTCTCGAAATCCCACTGAATTATTGCAGAATCTCGTTGGTAAATCAACGAGTGACTGGGCGCTGTGGTGGTTTTGTACGCCAGTCTTGCCAGAGTTGTCAGCTTTGGTCAGCTGGCTGGCGTTAGATGGTCAAGTCGAAACAAGTTTGCACACACATGCACACGCATTTACATGTATGTAAGAATTTTACTGCCTTGTAAATAGTCTATAAGGTTCGCAAACTATCACAACTCTCTTGATATAGCTAATTTTAGGTTCATGGAATAATGTAAATTTGCCGTAAGATTGCTTGCGTGAGCGTGAGAGTCAGAAAGCGTGAGTGTCACGCCAGATGCGTGAGAGCTGGCAGCGCTGGTTTTGCCTGCTATTCCGTTACAGAGACGTCCTAAGCGGTCGGCGTAATTACGCTCTTTCTCGGGCATCGCAATAATAATAAGGATAATAATAATAATAATAATAATAATAGGTCAATGTTGCAATATAAAATTATACTGTGGACTATAAATTAGTGCAGAAAGGGCTCTTTGTAGTTTTAACATCGGTATACACTTTGAGCACATAACTGAATTGAAAATGGCCCTGATCTCAATGCTGTTTTTCAGGTGGACATGAACCCTTAACACCAATCTTATCCACAAAGGACCTGTCTCCCAGGTCCTTCAGCCAATCAGTCCTCTAATTAGTAATCTAATTAGGGAGTTGCAGCGAAAACCCGCACACACAATGGCTCTATCTGGAAAGATTGCCCACCCCTGCCTAGACGATCTCAGCAATAAACAATCAATAGGGAAATATAGGCTGCCCTCAGGTGAAATACTGTAATGAGCCTCCTTGGTCTGCTGCAGGATGAACTGAACAGAGGGTCACGCGGAAATGTTGACCTCACCCCCCCGCTATGCTTTCGACAGCTCCCCATTTCCACGCCACTGGTGGATTCCTGCAGACCGTCAGTGATGCACAAGACCTCAGCAAGGCTGCTGTGTCCAAATCTGTGCATGCAGTGAACCGATTACGGTTTCCATGCATGCAGCTACATACAGTTTCCAGCAGGAGACGATACCTTGCATGACAGTGAAATTGCTTTTCTTGCCATTGCAGGCGTACCTGGCTTTGTAGGTGCAGTGGAGGGAACGCCCAGTCATACTCCCAGCCTCTTGAATCCCATCTGCACCTGTCGAAAAGGGTTTTCTGCACTACGCCTTAATGTCCAACAAGGGCTTTTTACAGACATAGTGGCTAAGTGGCCTGGGACTACATGACGCTTATATCTGGTCCAGTTTTGGAGTGTCTCACATGGCAAAGGATGGTGCGTTTGCTGGTCACTGATTACTAGGAGACAGCAGGTATCTTTTTCAGGAATCGAGAATCCCCAAACCATGGCTGAGGAGAGCTATGACACGGCACCCAAAGAACAAGCATCATTGGGGAGCATGTTCTGGGCATGTGGAGGATGCAATATTTTTGCCACCTTCTCCATAAGTTGCTTTAACTCTTCTTTTGAGAACAGTAGCTCCCTGATCCTAACTCTTCTCACCTCTGTTTGTTTGTTTGTCTGTTTATTTATTAATTGAAAGAAAGCTCCATCACATTTTGAGCAAATTTATATGTTTTTTTCGACAAATGGGTCCATTTATTTTGGTCTTAATTTTCTTTGTGTGATGTTTTGATTATTTTTTTCATTTGCCTGAGATGACAGTAATACCCTATAATATATTAGACAACTGAAACAGGTGGATCTGTGTTCCTGTTATCAGCAGCCCGTGCTTTTCTCATGTGGGGGAAGCAACACAGAACAACTTCACAGAACAACTTCACAGAACAAGTTCATTCCTTAAATGTTGTATAATAAAGGGCTTTATGAAATAGGCCTCCACTCTTTCTCTACCTTTGTTATTCATTATCCATCCATCCATCCATCCATTGCTTATCCAAGTTTGGGTCATTGGGTAATGTCACTGGTAATTCTGCGACTTAATCTTTCATTTTATTTACTTTAATCTGGTTGAGTACTTTCTTACTGCTAAAAATAAAAAGCAAATCCACTGGTTGTTCTGATGTTGAGTAGCAGGGAACTGAACCATTGGATGAAAGTTGGCTGTACAGAGTGGAGTTTGGAAGGTAAATAGCCATAACTTTAAAATGAGTGTTTTAATCCCCTTTGTCCATCCATCCATCCATCCATCCATTTTCTATACCCATTTGTCCTACACAGGTTCTGGAGCTACAGACAAATAGCAGGGAATAGCCCGGAATGGGGCGTAATGTACTTTGTACAATAGAAATGATAGAATATACAGACGCTCCCTGGGTTAGGATGGTCCGTGTTGTGATATTTTGACTTTACGATGGGTAAATGTTTTTCACTTTCAGTACATTATTCAATAAATTACATGAGATATACAACACTTCATTATAAAATAGGCTTTCTGTTAATGATTTTGCCCAACTGTAGGCTAATGTAAGCATTTTAAGCATGTTTAAGGTAGGCTAGGCCAGGCTATGATGTCTGTTAGGTTAGATCTACTGTATCGAAATGCATTTTCACCTAATGATATTTTTGCCTTATGATAGGTTTATCGGAACGTAACCCCATCGTAACCTGGAGAGAGGCTGTATAAGAAAACATTTTCAAATATCAGCAAGCATGTGTAAAGACTGTCAAACAGATTTCCCAACATGTGTTATTCTTTCTGCAGTTTCCTGAAGTATGAGGACAATTTCCTTTTAAAGTGCAGTGACTTCAGTTTGTGAGAAGGGGCCTGACCTTTAGGGTGTCTGGCCTCCCAGCGGCCAGACAGACACCTCGCCTGTGCTTGGGTTACACCAGCGGCACTCAGGTACAGGCGCCCTAACAAAAGCAGGCCCACAATCACCCAGAAAAAAACAGTAAACAATGACAAGAATATGCTTGTGGTTTTAGTTGTGGGTCAAATGAAAAGGTGTTTTTTGTTAAACCGCAACAAAGAATTTCTTAAAAACACTATAAGAAAGCGTCAGAGTGTAACTCAATGACTTTGGACTTAATGGTTGGAAAGTCACCGGTTCAAATCCCATGCAGGGATGTAGGGGACAAGGGTGACAAATAGGGGTTGATTAATTCATCCCTTCTAAAAATACACCTTTGTATTTAAATTGTGTCCCCACCCCAGCATCAAACTCTCTCCTGCACTGTTGACCTGGTGAATGACAAAATGGTTTCAGAGTTAGGCCCTTAATCACGATCCTTAACTCCACTCGCTCCAGGGACTGGCTCTGGCTTTGGATAGCAGCATCTAGTAAATAAATACAATAAACGTTATGTCGTAGGAAGTCCAGACACACCCTTACATCTCATAAGATGCCGCACAGGTACTGCTTCGGTCAGTAGCAAATGCAAACACGATTAAAGCACCGACAGCCCAAGGAATGGCCGCCCCACCCATGCCGGGACGCTCTCCTCCGACGTGGAAATGCGCCATGGTCCATCTCATGTGGCTTACAGCCAGGTTGAGGCCGCGGGGAAACAACCGTCATTCAGTTACGCTTCCACAAGACAGTCTCCCCTTTGTGAGGCGCTTACGATGCGGCCAGCATGATCTCGTTAGCTTGTTATGGCAAGCTCACATCTGCTCGGGATTATATGAATGTGCTATTGCTTCCTTATGGGAATTATTTTATCAGGATGCCTAAAAGTGCCTGAATGAAATGTCTTGTAAGAGGAAGAGGATACTGCTTACTTTACCTCTGCTTTGTGCTATCAGGTCAAGAAGGTTTGAGATATTAATCTCAGTGAAAGGGGGCTGCCTTTAGATATGACAACCGAGAGAAGAGTTAAGAAATATCTCAGAAGCCAACAACATTCCCGGGTATCTGACTAAATACCAAGCACCAAAACTGTTAAAATTGATTATGAAGACCATGGAGAACACAGTCATAAAGTTGTTAGAATAAGAGGTACATCTTTTCTAATTCATACTCATAAACAATTAGAGTTAAAAAAGGTGGAAATATTACAGTTGGTTTTCACAGTTTGATTTTTAAAAGGTTTAAAAAGCAGAACATTTTCTTAATGCCTCATTAATAAATTAGTGTAAACATCTTCATGAGCCAGTCCATTACCAAACTAAGTATGAGCACGGGAATGACACCGCCAAAGCCAGCATGCTCATAATAAAGAAAATCATCTTTTGGTTTTCAGCTCAGGTTCCATGAGCTCTTGTTTACCACTGTAATCAGGCAACGGGCCATGCTACCTGTACGACCTGTTGGAACTGATGATGCCGGTGGGGTAATATTCCAGTGAAGAGTTGATCTAGGCATGGTGCTGACAAAGACAAAGGATCTCACTAGGTTTGTGGGATACACAAAGGTGGTTCATCTGGATAGAAAGGAAGGAGGCCCAGTAAGGAGAGTGCACAAGGAAGACATAGAGGCAAGCAGGTGCACAAGGCAACATAAACACTGCCGTCCCAGAGGCCGGGGGGGTCCACATGACACATTTAGCACAAGACACAAGAGGCTTTCAGCTGGAAGCATTTAGGCGAGTTAAATCATGGGGGGCCGTAATGACATCATGTCAACATTCATCATTGCAAATAGGAGAAGAACTAAAAAAACTAAAATGATAAAACGCACTACACTGCTGGAGGCTTTGATTGTGCTGGACGCAGGTGGACAGGATTGATCTGCCACGTGGAAACGGTCCAGGACAGGTGCACCTCTGGCTGCATTCCTTGTTCCATCCAGTAGAACGTTTCTCATACTTGACCCCGAAGGGTTTACAGTCCAGCCAAGAGGGGTGAAATCAGCATGCTAAGTTAGCGGACTTAGCTTCTGCTCTAAGGACTGAGGTTGGTGGAGGTCATGCACCACGGCTAAGAAGTATG